GCAAACATGTGCTGCAGATCATTTGATTTCTCTCTTTCTTTTCTTTCTTTTTCTTATGATAAATGTTCTCTGCCTCCCACCCAGACGGGATCTGCAAGGACTAGGAATCGTTAATTCACAGAGAGCCAATAGAAGCAGGGGCAGCACTGAACACCGTGGTCCAGTTCCCCAGCCTTGCTCATAGCTGTTAACTTGGCCCACAAGTGCTCCTGCTCCTCCCCAGAACGGACAGGGAAGGTGTGGAGATGCCACGATGCATTCATGTCTCAAGGCTCCTGCAGTGTTGGGAGAGGGCCCAGCATGGGCAGCTTAAGGCCCTCCCCTTTAGCTCAGTTTTCACAAGGTGACCTTTCTATTGTCAAATCAGAAGAGAACTACAGGCCCTCAGGTCATGCAGGTGTGGTGCGCCCACCCACAAGGAGCCCCAAGCTCTGGGGCATGATTCAGAGGTGCTGCAAGGCCTGCCTGCTGGACCTCCCTTCAGCACCCCAGTCCCAACACCTAAAATTTAGACCAAGAAGGTCACTCTAGATGGGTCACAGAGATGGCAAATAGGTTTCATGACAAGTGCCAACTCCATATTATTGAGAGTAGATACTTTTTTCAGAAAGGTTCTGAGGCCTTTTCTGAGCTCAGCCAGGAGGATGCTGGTGACCAATTTTCAGAGTCTACACTGAGCACTGGAGAAGTTCCAATGGCTTAGTCATAGAATCAGCCTTAAGATTTTTTGTTTTTACATTTACAGTGCAACTATGAAGGTAAGGAGAAAATATGAGCTTGTTATGACTAATAACTGTATCAGCAGGGCTCCGTGGGCACAGGAGCCCAGATGGAGACTTTCCACTAAGGGGGCTGGAGAAGATGTGCTGCCTGAGGCTTGGTGGTGGCTGCTGAGGAGGACAAGCCCAGATGGGAGTTAGGATGGGGTGCTGGGATAGCGTTGGAGCAGCCCAGGTCCTTGAGTTTCTTGGGAAGGGACCCTCCAAATGGGTCACCAAGGCAAATTTTAGTGCAGCCCCATATCTTTTGCCTTTGAGCCTTGACCTCCTGGCAGCCTAGAGTACCCCCATGCTCTCTGCCCAGAGGGCAGCACCTGGGATTCTGATGCCAGTGTGAGGTGCAGGCGTCCTCTTCCTTCTGTCCTCCAGCTTCAAGTTCAGTGTCTGCACACATACCATCCACATTTAGCCCAATCCTGTGTGGTAGGCTTTTCCAAATTCTCCAATATTATATGTTACTGATATATTTATTTTTTAAATATCATGTCCTCATAGTTTTTTTAATAGCTCAAATAACACAGAAGGGCCTAAAGTGAAGACTAAAAGTACACTCTGAGCCCTGGTCCCACTGTGTTCTTTAATAAATGGTGGTAACTTAAGTTTGTGCACATTAGAACTGTGCAAAGCAAGGTCAACCTGAATGATAGTGGATGTCTGACTGACTGCCTTATACCAGGCCCTGTTCTAAGTGCCTGAACTCATATAATTCTCCCAACCCTATCAGGTAGGTAGCACTAGTAACCCCTATTTTGTACATGAGAGTCACAAAGAGATGACAGGCCCAAGGCGACACAGCTGGCAAGTGACAGAGTTGAGCTTGTGCTTTTAAGTAACATCTTGTACTTCATTTGATAGAAATGAGGGAAAGTGCTCTCCAGGATCGTGTGGTTCCTACGTGGCAGTGTATGTACCGCTCTATCACAGCGGCCTCTCCCTCCCAACCCACCTGGGAAGATTATCATCCAACACAAACAGCTATTACCACTTTGCCAGCACACACAAGAAGAGGGTACAGCTCCAAACACCACTTTTGTTTCTTAATTTTATCTGTTTATTTTGGAATGTATAATAAATTCACATGGGCCAAAATTCAAGTTACAAAGGACTATGCTCTCTTCCTCTCATTCTCTCCTCTGGCCACAATTATCCTTCCCATAAGCAACCAATGACAGCAGTTTCTTCTCCCTCCGCTCCTAAGCTGTTCCAGAATGTCCTGGACCATCTCCTATATCTACCAATAACGAAGTTTTAAAAGGTCATGGCCAGTATTCTGGTTTATAGAAATTTTTTAAGTAAGAAAAATAATCCAAACATCAAAATCCTTTTAAAATTATTTTTGTTTTATTTGCTTGTTTCCAGGGACTTAGGAACCACTGGGCACCATGAAGGAAAAGAGTTTGCTTTTGAATTTGTAGATTGAGGAGCAATAAGGGGCCAAGAATTCCTGGTAAGATGAATGGCCAGAAGTTGTGCTCAGAGAGGGCCCTGGCCCTGGGATGGGGGGATGTGGGCAGCACCCTGTCTTCACTTGGAGTCTGCCAGTTGCTCTTATTTGTAGAGGGCTCTTTGCACACAATCCCTGAATCTTGGAGTAGGTTGATTGCAAAAAGGACTTAAAGGGCAAAGAAAATAATGTCTTCATCTACTATGCTGGTTTTTCCAGGACTACATTTATTGCAAATATTCTATCCTGTTGTGCCCTTGAGCTATCACAGATGTTTTAGAGATCCCAAATTTGCCATATCCAAACCACATCTTCAAAACTGCTCCTCTCCTCTAAACCTCTTACCTTCCGTAGCCCCAAATCCTTTCTCTGAATATACAGCTCAAATTTTTGGCTCAGATAGCATGGTCATCACAGAATATCTGAACAGAAAGAACTGGCAGTTTCAAGGAACAGAGGAATAGTAAATGTAAATACACAAACGAATATGTACTAATAGCAGCCCATCTTCATTGAGAGGCTTATGCACGTGGATGGTGGAGCCAGTCTCTCTGAGTTCGAATCCCAAATAGCAGTGTGGCCCAAAAGAGCCAGTGAACCTCTCTGTGCTTCAGTTTCCTCATCCTGTAAAACAAGGGGAATAGTACTTGGTTCCAAGAGGTTTTGTGAGGATTAAGCCCATTCATAGCGGAATTCAGAGCAGTGCCTGTGGGGCACAGTAAGCACTCTCTGTGGACTAGGCCTTGTCCCTGAGCCCTCAGTCTGGGCTGGGTGTTCATCTCCCTACACGAATGAATTCATTTAACCCCCACAATAGAATCAGTATTTCCACTTGACATTTGAAGAAACTGAGACCCACAGAAGCTAAGAGACTTGGCCATGTCACTTACCCAGAGGTGAAGAGCCAGAATTCCATCCCAGCCCCCAGCCCCATTCACAGCACAGTGTACACTGTGAACATGAGGGAGTGCACAGTGAGAGACATGTCTTGAAGCAGAGCAAGTCTGGCTTCTTTGTGGCCTTGCCCTTCACAGCCTGATTATCTGGTGTTGCCCCAAAACCAGTTTGGTTGCCTGAATCCAATCATTTCTCATATCAGCCACTGATGAGTGCATCTCCACCTGACTCCGGTGAAATTTCATTGGTATGTGCCCAAGTCTGCCTTTGTCCTCCCACAAAGGAGCACCTTATGATGGGCCCAGCAGCCCCCAGCCATGTGTGAGGTGAAGAAGATCTTCCTGTGCATTCTGCTCTTGAGCGCCATTTCTAAGAGAGACTACAACCCAGATGTCCCATATCAGCCTCCACAAGGGCTGAGGGGATGTGGATGAAAGTGAAGGCAGCAGGAATATATAAGAACCTGGGAAATAATTTGAAGTCTTTGAAAATTATTGCTGTTGCCTGGACCACCCTTCACCAGTGAATCAGTATGCCTGATTAATTGGTATCAAATTTAGGAATTTAGGTGAGTGGATTATTAAAACATGTATATAAAGTTCTCACACTGGCACTTGATGGCTGTTGATGAGCGTATTCACTGGACAATGAGGTAAACAGGGTAACATAAAAACGACCAGACTTGGAATGACTGCTAGGGTGTGACTTTAGGCAAGCCACAGCCCTTTGTCTCAGTTCCTCATTTGAAAGGAGAGGGTTTGACCAGTTATCTCTTTAGGCCCATCTCTTTCTTTTTTTTTTAAGGTATTATTGATATACACTCTTATGAAGGTTTCTCATGAAAAACATTGTGGTTACTACATTCACCCATATTATCAAATCCCCCCATACCTCATTGCAGTCACTGTCCATCAATGTAGTAAGAGGCCACAGAGTCACTACTTGTCTTATCTGTGCTACGCTGTCTTCCCCATGACCCCGCACACACACCATGTGCACTAATCATAATACCCCTCAATCCCCTTCTCCCTCCCCACCCACCTTCCCCCACCCCTCCCCTTTGGTAATCACTAGTCCCTTCTAGGAGTCTAGGAGTCTGTTGCTATTTTGTTCCTTCAGTTTGGCTTCCTTGTTATACACCACAGATGAGTGAAATCATTTGGCACTTGTCTTTCTCCACCTGACTTACTTCACTGTGCATAATACCCTCTAGTTCCCTCCATGTTGTTGCAAATGATAGGATTTGCTTTCTTCTTATGGCTGAATAGTATTCCATTGTGTATATGTTCCACATCTTCTTTGTCCTTTCATCTATAGCAACTATATGGTTGCTTCCATATCTTGAAGCCCATCTCTTTCTATTCAGCACCAATTCAGCCAACAGTTTGGAATATCTTTTACATCCTGCCAGATCACACTTCTTAAGGCACCCTAGTTTTCCCTCCATGACACTTCTCACAATGTATAATTACTCATTTGATTGCATGTTTAAAACTGTTTCCCCAGGTAGACAAAGCAAAAACCACATCTGACTCAGCCATAGTTCCTAGCATGGTGCCTGGCACATATGGGCACTCAGCAAATATCTGTGAGATACATGAGTGAGTTATTAATAAAATGGAGGGAAGGAGTTAGAGTTATTCATTAGGATGTAATGGTATTTGTTAGACTACATGAAGAGTCTAAACTTGCAGAGAGCAAGTGATTAAATCTATCTAAGAGAGGGAGGGATTGAGAAAGATTTCCAGGGGTTTGGTTTATCTGCTCTGGGTCCTAGAAGATTCCCCAATCAGAGCTGTATGCATCAGGGAGGGGGCGGGGTTAAAAACTGGGGGGAGGGAAATGGGGAATGTTGTACATAGGGATTATAAAGGAAGGACAGGAAAGGCAGGAAATACATCGTTTGGTGGAATCCTGAGCCATCTGATATCTCTGGAGCATGGAGTGCTAGGTAAGAGTAACTTTGGACAAATGGGAGAGCAATGCCATTGACGGTTCATGGTACCAGAGGAGGCCAGGGAGTGAGGATAGATAATGTGGGCTGCAAGGACCAGGACCCACTCTTCCCCTGAAGCAAGTTGCCAGGATAGAAAGCCGGGAGAAGGAGGAGCTGATCTCTGAGTGGGGAGGTAGTCTGTTCATGTAATCCTGCCCCACAGAGATCAGCAAAGGGCCTTCTGTAGAGGGACAAATAGCAAATATTTTTGGCCCTTTGGGCTACACGGTCTCTGCTGCAACTTCAAAGGCTGCAGGGGTAGGGTGACTGCAGCTACAGATAATACTTAATGAAGGATGTGCCTGTGTTGGAATGAAACTTTGTGTATAAGCACTAAAATTTGAAGTTTATGTAATGTTTACGTGTCACAAAATATTATTCTTCTTTTGACTTTTTTCCATCCATTTAAAAATGTAAAAAGCCTTCTTATCTCACAAGCCGCTCAACAGCACAGGGTGGCCTAGTTGTGCGTGCAGGCCAGTTTGCCAGCCCCTTCTTTGACAGATACTTACCGAGTTTCTACTATGCACCAGGCTCTCGGCCAGGCTTTAGGGACACACTAGCACCGTCTGCAGGGACTCACAGAATGGCACAGGAGTGAGACACAGAAACAAGCAACTGGTTACATGTGAGCCAAGCTCGGGGCCTCATGAATGACTGAATGAACTAAATAAAAGTCTTACATCAAAATAGCAATGTATGTAAAACAAGTTTGGAATTTGGCACCCCTGAGGGCTGCATGGAAACAGAAGGTGCCATTCCCACGGCTGCCAGTGTACATGACTTCCCCAGGAGCTGTGAGGTGGCCTGGGCGGGAGCCCAGAGGAGGACTATGAATCCATCCTGAGGGAGGACAGAAAGGCCTCAAAGAGGAGAAGCTATTTGAGATGAATCTTGAAAGCTGAGTAGGAATTTTGTCAGGCAAATAGAGCAGGATGAGGCCTTCCCTGAGAAGAAACCGCATGAAGGAAAGCTGTGGGTGCACATGGAATAAAGCAGGCAGATCTGGTGGAGCCCTGAGTGTGGCAGTGTGAGCTACAGAAAAGGAGGAGGGGAAAGGGGACTAGAGACGAAATGACGAGGGACCTTGCGGGCTGTGCCAAGTCATTTGCATATCATTTAAAACCTGCACTCTCCAGTATGATAGGCATGAGCCACATTTGGGTATTTAAATTAAGTAAAATTAAAAACTCTGTTCCACAGTCACCCTAGCTACATTTCAGGTGCTCAGTAGCTGCGTGGTTAGTGGTTGCCATGTTGGACATGGCTGCTGTCACGGAAAGGTCTTTGGGCTTGCTGCTCTAGACTCTTAGGAGCCTTGGGGGGTTTAAGCAGAGGAGAGAGAAGGCCGCCTTTTCATTTTAGAAATGTCACACCCAAGTGTGCCGGGTGCTTTGGAACACGGGGACTAGTGCAATGGGCCAAATGTCCCAGTTAGACCATGCGAACACAGGCAGTGTCCATGAGAAAGGGAAAAAGGGACATATTGAAGAGACACTTGAATGGTAGAACCTGGTGACTCCTGTGGTGCAAACTTCCGGACTGAGCCTGAGTGACTTCTGCAACCTCAGTAAAGCAGCAGGCGAATCAGCTGCTGGGATTGGGTAGTAGACTTGGACCAGCCATTTGTCCCCTCCAGAGCTGCTACCTTGCTATACAACAAAGAGGGTGAGCTTGATAACTTGTAAAAAATGTTTACTCTTTCATCTCAAATCACTTTTATTTAAGGACTATTTTATTTGAAATCACAGACAAATTCTTAATAACAATTCATAGCCAACATTTCACACATAAGTTATTATCAGTCCAAAAACAGCTCTTTATCATGTTAGCAACCAAACGTCTCAAGAAGATGAACAACAATCTTTGGGTTCTTCTCTAGGCCTTCAATTCTTGAGCATTTGAGTGACTATTATGTGTAAGACATAGAGGATAACATGAGGCATCAGAGACATGATCTCAGCCCTCTATCTTTGGTGTAAAACACTTCAAATCAAAGCAATAATATTTAGATACCAAAGCCACCAATCCTCTCCACAACTATTTTATGTCTGGCATTTGGAAAAGTTATTTATCTTGGGTTCCTTCATTAACAAAATTTCTAAGCTGCTTTAGGACTTTCTGGATATGGATATTTTAGGTTAAAAAGAGTTTCATCTCTTGGTGAAAGCCAGTGTAAGCTCATTCATTTACATGTGACTGAAGAGGTTAGTCTTTGCATGCAGACAGACCTGGGTTCGAACCAGGGGTCTGGCACTTGACCACAAGCAATTGTAACTTCTCTGAGCCTCAGTTTTCTCATCTATGAAATAGGAGATAGTCCACCTCAGAGGATCAATGTGGCCATTAAGTGAGATAATGCATGAGAATGACTTGGCAGAATGCCTAACACTTGGACAGTGTTCAGTAAATCATGGTTTATATCAGTCATTACTCAATGCCTTCAAGCCTGGGCAGGTAAGCTAAATATGGTTGCTACTCCCCCAAATCACATGGGAGCTGAGGCATGATGTAGGAACAGAAGCTGAGCTAAGATCTATTACCATCCCTCTCTGCTGATTCCTGTCACCAGTGATTAACAGTGATAAATTAAGGGAGCCCAAGACTACAGTTACATTTACTTTTAGCTTAGAGAAATGCACACAGTAAAAATAGACTATTAAACATCCTCTGATGATTTTTACATATATTTAACATGTTCCTAATAAAGCATAAGTCATACTACAGGAAACCCAAGTGTGGGTTAGCTGGCTGTCCCCAAGTCCTCTGCTGGCTCTGGTCACTTGCATGGTTGGAAACCCAAAATGTCTGCATACTCCCAGCGCAACTATGTTCTCACAGCCACCACTGGTACAATTCCTTGTTTGTGCTGAAATCTGAGTTTCCTTCTAGCCTTGCCTTCTTACTACTGTTTTGTTCCCTCAGTTGGCACAAGCCCCCAAAAAAGAAATCAGTTCTTTTTGCTTTTATTTTGCCAAGGCAAGGCAACTGCTGAACCAACGCAGGGCTGTTTGTGCAGCAGCTTTTGACCAAGGGTATGGAAAAAAGGTGCGGCAATCAATTTCTTAAAGAAAAAAAGTCAAAGTGATTAGACATCCCCAGAGCCGACTCTGTGGGTGAGCAACCAGGGCAGTCTCATGCCCTGTGCGCAGAGGGTCCCACACTTGAGATTCCAAGCTCTCTGGTCACTGTCTAGAAACTCTTAATAATTTTATCTTTGAATTTGTGTTTGTAAATGAAGTCTGATAGGTCAAAGGAGCATTTGCCAGGGACTCACACTCAGTCCTCCTTCCCATCAACTCCCTGCCCTCCCCAGCGAGGTTCTCGGCTGGCCCCACCCACCAACTACCTTCTACCTCACCTGGTGCCCCAGAACCCTCCCCTCCCCATGCAGTGACCTATCCTCTATTCCCTGCCTCTAGCTAGTCCACCCTGAGCTGGGTGGCAGACACATGGGAAGGGGAGATGCCTGGGCCGAACTCTGCCCTCCTTGACTTTGGCCATGGCACCTAGGTCTGGAGGCTGGTATGAGGGGGAGCTTGCAGTCAGTGAGTAGCAAGCACATGCCCCCAGTCACAAAGCAGGACCCAACGTATCCACAAGCACCTGTACTCATGAATTCCCTCTGCCCAAACGAGCATGACATTAAATAACAAATTTAAAACATGACAGATGGAGAGAGAGTCTGTAGTTGAAAGGAAAAGGCTTTATATTTTAGTACTGCTAACAGCACCTTTTGCTGTATTTTGAACATTTTTATTTTGCAATAGGCTTCACAAATTATCTAGCTGGTCTTGGCCATCGTCATTCTGTTCTGAGCCCTCTCTGCGTAGGGGGTTTCTCACTGGCCAACTCCCCCCACCAGGTGTCTTTGATTCTTCTCAAGCTCCCACAGGTTCTTCTCATCTCCCTCTTTTCCTGTCCTATTTGCCTCTCAATCCTCCTTCTAGACTAGCCCCATATTCCAAATCACCCTCACTATACTATGCAGAATTGTGTAACACTCTCTTTGTTACCATTTTCTATCTTCCAGATCAAGTTCCTGGAACCTAACTTTTCATGACCAAATGACCTACTAACATGTTTGGTGAAACAAAACACAGGTTTCCCTCAGAGAGAAATTCTACTGCCAGTTTTTTAAGTGGCAGGCCTTTTTCCCCCTTGTGTAGATATAAATCTCCAATTACCTTTCAGCAGTATTTACCAACAAGTCACATCCCCTGGAAAATTAGTCCCACAAAAGAGAAAGAGAGAAAGAAAGAAAAAAGGGTTCCTTAGCCATGGAATTTGGGGAACACCAAATACCCTGCCTCCCTCCTACCCTGCTCTGTTCTGTAGATTTCCAAGTTGCATTAGCTTATTAAGGAAACTAGCTTGATTTTATTTTAAATAGCATTTCCTAACTTATTTGTCAACAGAACCCTTTTATGAGGGAACAGCTACTGACTGCCTACCTTGCGAGCATTGCTTTGGAGCAGGCAAGCTTTTTCTAAAAAGGGCCACTAGCAAATATTTGAAACTTTGAGGGCCATACAGTCTGTGACCTTACAGTTCAAAAACAACCATAGACAGTACATAAATGAATGAGTGTGGCTCTGTTCCAATAAAACTTTATTTATAGATGTTGAAATTTGAATTTCCTATCACTTTCACATGTTACAAAATATACTTCTTTACATTTTTTTCCGAATATTTCAAAATGTAAAACCATTCTTAGCTCAAGAGCCAAGCAGAAACAGAGAGTGGGTGGTTCTTGGCCAATAGGCAGTTGTTTTCAATCCCTGACTGAGAGGATCAAGGAAAAAAGTTACTTGTAAACACAAGTTGGATATGATTTCTTTACCTTAACTGCTACTGATTCTGAATTGTTTTTCTAATTGGTCATTTTATAATCAGGCTATTTTTTAAAATCATTTTTACCACTTATGGTTCAGATGGTTTCGGCTCCTGATACTTTAGCTCTTGCTGGCAAATACTTAATTATCTCGTGTTTGCTACAGTCTCTTGGCATACATCTTCCTGGTTCAAGCAGGTTAGCTCTCTGGAGCACCTGCCTCCTGCCTTTTGTATTCCCTCGTCATTCTCCACGTTGCAGTCACTCTGAGCCTTGTGATACCAGAATAGAATCTGGGTGCAGCAGAACTAGTCATATTCCTTGAACTCTTTTCATTTGCACATTTTAAGATAGATCTACTGCCCTAGAGCCCAATGAGGAATGGAACCACAGACACCCACCCACTTTTCAGAGTACCTCACGCATCCCAGTCTTTTCATAATTACACCCACAGACACATGTTCTTGACGTCACGACACATCACATTCTCCTCTTAGAAATACATGGGGCATCTATTTTTAAACCAAAATGGATTAAAATTAATTTTCTGAGTTATAATTAAGATTATCCCCTAAGATAGCTGGAGATAGCCCCTTGGAGTTGCAAAACCTCAGTTTGAAATCACATTGCATGACATACACTTCAATCTTCTTAAATATATTTATATTTTTGTCTCTCTTTTTAAATTCTCTCACAGGGAATATGTGATGGGAAGAGAATCAAACAAAGAGGAAATTGTAAGGCAGTAGTGGGCAATGATGAAAAGGAAAGATGCATGTGATTGCTTTAGTGTTCATGTGACCTCTTATTTCTATTTTAGAAATAAACATAAATTGAATAACAGAAAATCACCTGTGAGTTTGGGAAACTCTCAGTTCCTGAAGGACAAGGAACAAAGTCCTCTTCCCTGAGGGACACTGACAAAGCCATTTTATGAAGACAATGTGAAAATGTGAGCAGTCTTAAAAAAGGGGCCTCCGCTCAACCACCCACACTCAGTTGATAAAGTCTTAAATTGGGGGCTCTGAGGAACTGAGAATCAGGACAGGTACAGTGGGTGTGTGGCTGGTGACACTCATTGTTAGGCAACCCCAAATATGTCATTTGGCTGATCTGTGGGAAGATATATGAGGGAAGCCATCAAAGTAATACTCCAGGAGGGAAGCTTTTGATATTGCCTGTGTCTAAAAGCCCATTAAAGACCTCATGCCTCACTCTAAGAAGAGTGAAGTTGATTATCTGACTCTCTGAGTACCTATGACATAGCACTGTTAGAAATAATTGCATCTGTAGCACAGCCAGAGGCAGTGGCTGAGACATTCGGGGTCATTTAGAAGACAGACCATCGTCTCAGCTAGACTCATCTTAGCTGTGTCCCTGACTTGCTAGGTGCACTTGATTTGTCCACTGCAGGTTCTCCTTCTGCCATCATCACTGGTTGCTTATCAGCACACCAAGGCCTTGTAGTCTAGCGGTTGAGAGCTTGGGCCCTGAAGCCAGACTGTGTTCAAATTCTTTCACCCAAAAGCTGGGGATCCTTCTTCATGTTCTTAGCATCTATTTCTGTTCAGTTTCCTCTTCTGTAAGCACTTAACAAACATTAGCTATTATTGTGAAAATAAGAAATGCCCAAATCCCTCCTAGCCCCACCTGAAGGGGTTTGGGGGGAGTTAGGTCTAGCCCAGGTGACAGTGAGGATCTAGGGATTGGGAGGATGATGGCAGCCAGCCCTCCTCTCATGCCATGAGCACTAACAACAAAGAGGAGACTAAGGGCTTATTGAGAGCTGACAAAGTTCCTGTGTGTGTATATTATGTGTACATAACGACTCTATGAGGGCTGTGAGTTATTCTGATTCTTATTAGCTCCTTTTGCAGATGAGTGAGCCAGACTTAAGGCAATCAAACAACTTGTTCAACGTCCCAGAACTAGTGAGGGGCAGAGCCAACATTCCAACTCTAAAGTGCTCTGAAGTGAATTCACTTAAACACTGAACAAGCTAAGGATCAAAATGCTAGGAGATGGGAGGTTTATGAACACAAAGTTTCTGTTTGAGGTGATAAAAATGGTCTGGAAATAGTGGTGATAGTTACATAACATGGAACACTTAGAAATGGTTAAAATGGTAAATTATATGGTATGTACATTTTACCACAATGAAATACACTAAAAAATGCCAGAAGAGAGGTTGCAAGGGCCCCTCAACTTCATGAGGTCAAAGACATATGGATGTCAGGCACCGACGTAGGAGTTAGTGGTTGAGAAAAACAAAAAATAGAATGTACTTTTGTCCCTCTTTTGCAAAGAAGATAGTTCATAAAACTCCAGAGCAATAATACATGAGTTTATTTCTTAAAGAAAGCATTTTGTACCCTTGGGACCACAGGTTCAGGCCATTCTTATGAGCCATTTCTATAGCTTCATAGAAAAAATGTATTTAAAAAGATGGAGAACTACCAAGGAAGAGAAACCCCACCTTTTAAATTAAGAAAACCTTGATCAATACAGTAAGGGCTGTGTCTGTTAGAAAATATTTCCTTCTTATATTATCAAGCCTTAGAATGCAAAATGTTCTTGCTGAGTAATGAATGAAGTTAAACAAATATGTGAAAAATCCAGGAAAATAGAACAGATGACTCCTCTATGAATCCCACAAGAAAGATTTACGACAAGCAGGTTATTTCCAGTATTAAATAGCCTATGAAATAAAGGCATGGCATGAATGCTGATCCACTTCATTAAGGAGGCTGTGGATGATCTAGGAAAAGTCAGAAGTCTCAGGCAGGACAAGAGTGGGGTTGGCATTTGGGGTGTACTGAGTCCTCTTTGTTTTCATTATAGGCTAGTAGAAGCATCCTAAGCAGGATGGGAGGCCAATGGCCAAGAGGGAAGGACAGACAGTGGTGTCAGCACAATGTCTCACTTTTGCTCTCTATCCAGAATGTGAAATGGTCCAAAGACAAACAGCTAACCTGGCTGACCCAGAACAGATTCACAACAATCCCTCTGCCTCTGTTCTATACACATATATAAAACCCATTTGACTGGATCCCACAGAAGCTAGAAATGGCCCTTTTTCCACTGGGGTTATGACTGCAACCCATTGGTCATTAGCAGTTGCTAGAGGCCTGAGAGCTGGTAAGAAGGTAGGTCACTGGATTTCATGTAGACTTCATGTCTATGTGGCATTGAACTCTGACACAGTGCCTCCCCACTGGTATCTTTCCTGGTAAACCAGAGCACATGTGAGAGCAAAGACTTGGAGAAGACTGCGGAAGGTCCTGGAAGGGGAGTTGTTTATTCCTGGCATCCAGTCTTACATCTGGGAAAGTACCACTCTTATACCTCCTACCCCAGTCCCGAAGTGTTAAAAGCCCCCTCTCTGGCCCTGCCCTGGTAGCTGCCATACCTCAGGGCCAAAGTGAAATGACATGCTCACTGCACTCCCAAGCCCCAGCCCCCTCTTCTAGGTAAACTCAGAATTTCCTTCCCAAACCACCCTGAGCCCACTTCCAGGGCCTGAATTGAACCTTTCTCTGGGTCTGCCCTCCTAAAGACAGGTCTCCCCATGAACAAATGCTCTCAAAACCCAAGGGGAAGCCAAGGGGCAACATGTGGCCATACAGGCTGGGGTGTCTGCACATGTGTGCACGGATCCCTTGCAATGCAGAGCAGAGCCAGGCCACAAAGAAGGGTGGGTGGGGTCTGAGCAGGCACTTCCTGGGCCGCTGTGTCCCTGTACAAGATCCTGAGATGTCCCAAAATTCTCTGTTTGAACCTGACCTTCTTGGTTGTTATGAAACTCTAGGTGTCACAGTCAGAGTATTACAATTTACTTTATTAAGCAGTTCACCAGCTTGATGTATACATTTTGAAGATACAGACATGTGGCCTGTGGGCTTCCATGTCTTCTCTTGGCCCAGGCCCTACAAATGTGAGGGGTGGGCTTCCTCTAGGTGGTGTCCCTCTCTTCCACATGCCACCTCTGGGGAGCAGTGTTCAAAATGTCCTTCTCCCTTGTATACCTAAGGAGTAGACCAACTCATCCTTGATTTGCAAAAATGTGTGTTTATTCCTAGGGGGAAAAATCTGAAAGCTAAGCCACTAGTGCCCAAGTTAACTGAACTGGGCAAGAGAACCAAGGCTTTCCGGGAGGACTCAACAACTCAGTTGTCTCCTGCACATGTTCAAAGGTCATGAAGATCCCGCTGCTCTTGGAGCGGTTACTGCTGGATCTAGAAACAGAGGAGGGAGGCCGGGCTCTGCCTGCACCTGGGAAGCAGCCTTGACATGTTTGGGTTTTTTTCTTAGCTCTAGAGGAAGATCCATGTGGAAAGCACCCGTTGGCTGGGAGCTCAAAGCATTTTCCTTTTCTGTCCCTAGACAACCTGTCCACTGTCCTGCGGGAAACTGGAGGTAAATTGCTCAGAATAACAGGTCCGGAGAGGGTATCTCAATGGGCACCAGCCCGTGTTACCCTTGGAAGGGAGAGGGGATAAAATGCCTGGCAAACCCTGGAGACGGAGACGGGCTTGACAGTAAGCTGCTGTTTGGGGTTTGTGGACAGTGCGCCAGGAGGGCTCCTTCTCACATTCCTCATGGTCCTCACAACACTTTAGGAGAGCACCCGAGGATGGTTATTGACATTCTGGGAAGAGAAGGGAAACAGGCCACTAGAAGAGGAAGAAATGAGCAGTGAGCTCTGGGTCTGGGCCAGGCTGTCAGACTGAGTTTGGCTGGTGGCCTCAGGATGGCAGTAAAATGTAAGCCAGAGAAAGGCTGGCTCCTGATTGCCCAGCCCAGGGCTGGGAGAGGGGTCAGAGCGCAGAACGGGGCCCTTGCGTGACCCTAAGGGTGGGTGCCTTCTTAAACTCTATGCCCAGGCACCTCGCGTGCCCTCCCTCACCAGGCCCAGCAGGTGGTTCTGGGGGTCCCAGGCTGACGACACACTCTCTGGCAAATGGAGCCACACTTGGGTTTCCCTGATTTTCTCTGTTAAAGCAAGGCCTGCCACTAGCAGCAGTCCTCTAGCAGGCAGTGGGCTTACTGGAGCCTAGAGCAGCCTGGAGAGCCATGGAAGGGCACCCAGCCAGCCACAGCCTTCTCAGGACTCCAGGCTGCTTTCCCAGACTGACCTCACTCCTGCCCGCAGCTTTCCGCCCAACACTCCCTCTGGTCTTCCCTTCCAGACATGATCCTGGTGCCAGAAACTGCCAGTGCTTACATCCAAGCAGTAGGTACCTGAGCAGAATAAACACAGGGGCGAAAGTGTCTGTGCCTTCTGACCCAGACAGGCTCCCCTGCCTCTCACTGGGGGTTAGGCACCGTGGGATCTTGTCAGGCAGATGCTACTGGGATGCAGAGGTGGACTTTGGTGGCCACTAGGGGCTTGGGGTGGCAAGAGAAACCACAGAGTGGTTTAAACTAAATCCAGAAGGAAGCATATGGGCTTAGGGCTCTACCAAGTCAATATCAGCCTCTCACCGACCCCTGCACTGACATCTGAAGAGACGGAGCCAGGAAGGGTCCAGTGTCTTTGGATTGCCAAGGGGCTCAAGTATCATTCTACAGTGTGCAGAATTTGACCCCCATCTTCATCTTGTCAGCCATGTTTGCTGAGAAAATCTACCCTTTTTTCTGGCTGCTCTCAAAAGGGGCCAGTGTAAACTGCTGAGTTTCTTGGGAAGCCCCATCTGAGCAAATTTCTTCCCAAGAAACTCAGGGTGTGGGTCACAAGCATTCAGGGCTGCTTCTTCATCCACCTTTGCTAGTGTCTGGAAGACAGGAGAACTCTATTGCTTATGGTACAATTTGTATGGTTGGCTAGATAGCAGAAATAAAATGAACGGATGTCACTAACCATGCACCTTATCCTATGTTAGTGTGGAGGTCAGACTTCTCTGAGCTTTACTTCTTTCCTTCTATTTTCATCTTCATTAAGTGCCATTTAAAACTCTACTTCTATCTCTCAAATAAATGCCAAATCAGCTGCTCTAAAAACTCTCCTCCAAACTGTGGCAAGAACAGGTGAAGATACTTGTGCAGCCACAGAAAAACCTTTAAAACAAAGACATCATCAATAATCATATTTCATACATAAATGTTATTTCCATCACAAGATGTGATGTGAAAGCAAAAATTATCACTTGAGATGTTCAAGACAGTCTTATATATTCCAGACAGGCCCTGCAACATGAGTGTATAAGCACATAACAAAGATTTTTCTTTCTAAGTTTCATAATTTGTGAGCTGATATTCACAGCATGGCTTTTTTGAGGACAAAATTAAAGGCACTCCCCACTCTGGCCCAGATGGTATTTCCATTCCCAGTTACAACAAGAAGGTAGATAATACAGAGCCTTAAAACTAAGACTGGCCAAAAGAATTTTACTCTCCCTTTATTTCCTATTAAATGTAGCACCAAGCAGTATCCACACTGTTCCCTATCCTCTGCCTGAAGGTGGGATTCTTCCATTACCTGAATGGTCCCCAGCCCCAAAACTGGGCGTTTCACTGGGATTGTGGGTGGAAGACAGAGGGGGAAGCCCCTAGCTTCAGTAGGATGTCTGTCAATGAGAGGAGATGGTCTTTATTTATAAATAAAAGAGATGGCTTCTATTTATGACTTTTCTCAGAGCAGAGACATTTACCCTTCACAGTGACGTCCATCACAACTGTCATACCACCCTGGGATGTGAGAGGATGGGTGCCCCTGTTTTCAGATGAAAAGCATGTATGATTTTTAAAACAAAGAACTAATTTAACAGAAAATTTTTAAGACATTGTTTTCTTCTTTTTTCTTCTTTTACTGCAACCCTCAACCCATCCTCTAGGAAGGGCATTCAGATCTTAGAGTTCCACGCTTCATGACAATAGATTAGCCCCATAACGTGATGTATAAAGAACATAGATTCTGAAGCCTGATTGGACTGAATGGGTTCAAATCCTGGCCCTGCCTCTTATAGGCTGTGAGATTTCAGGGGTCACACAACCTCTCTGTGCCTCAGCTATCTGGAACTAAAGATAGTCTTGCCTGAGAGGTCTGTCAGAAGACTTACATGAGTTCCTACTCACATAATACTAAGCACATAGAAAGCACTGCAAAGGAAGTCATAAAATGAATATACAATTACAAGCCTATTCATCTTATATGCCTCCCACAAGAAAGTAAAATCATTTCTTGGTGTTAGGTCTCAGACCCCATAGGGGATCTCCTAAGGGTCACCCATACCAGAAGCCCCAAGACTTATAATGTCCACAACACATAACAAAGTCACAGAGCAGATGTAGACCCTTATCTTAGAAAAACCTTCACAACATCCACCCTCAAATAAGCCCAGTACAAATCAAATTGAATTACTCCCAAAACTACTGTAAACAGTAATTATTTTATCCAAAGGAATTTAAATTACTTATATTTTAAGGTGGTTTTATAGATATCTCCAGGTTGAGTTGGACACAGACACAATTTTTAAAAAATAATTTATTGAGGTGAAACTCAGACAATTATTTTTTAATTTTTAAACCACGTGGTTAAGAGAATACCTGGAAAGAGTACCTCAAGCTTTCACCTGCTTGCAAAGCTACTCCCAAGCCTCCCCACCATGGCCCTCCAGCTTTGGTGAATGACAGTGACCTTCTTTCCGCTGTAAATATACTAATTCACACTGTATGAACAGTATGTTTGTTATGTGGTTATTATCATGTTGTGAAACTATAATAGGCAGATTTTTACAGGACCCTTCCTTGTATGTAGGGACTTATTCCAGTGAATCATCACAAAGTGTTTCTAAAGTAGGTGGCATCAAAGACCCAAGTAGGAAGGGCTTAAAGATGTCCATCAGTATTGACCCACAGCTCAACTGTGAACTAGGTATGCCTTTATACTGACTTGTGCTAGAAGAGAATGAGAGGCATCTAGAAGTTCCAGAAGGTTGAGCTTTAATGGAGCTGGAGTATGTCCTTGCATGGAGCAAGACGTATTTGTTCCCTGGACTAGGAAACAAGGTGGCACCCAGAGACCACATGGCTAAGAGGCAGGTTGAGGAACTGGGCAGGTAGGAAGCCAGACCAGATGCCTACAAAGTTATGCTAGGCCTTTAACAGTTAGCATGAAAGTATTTCAAGATCAAGGAAACTCTGGGCTATGTACGGGTCTTAGATATTTTCACAGAATTCTTTAAAATAAGAAACCAGGCATGGGTGGCCTAATTATGTATGTTGTGTTATCAGCCATTATTTTCTTTATATAGTCCCTTGATTTTTCATAGTCACTTTTGTTCATGTTAACTTTCAGCTCTATTCAGGGAGTTTTGTCCATACCTTCCTTGGAATGAATATGGGTGCGCTTTACCCCTAGAGCCCTGAAGAGTGGGGAAGGAGTAAAAATGAAGAGATGTTAAAGCAAAGACAAAAAGTCAGGGAGGAAACTGCCTACCAGCCAGCAAAGCCTCTCCCTCTGCCCTCCCTCTTGGCTCAAATCTCCCAACCAGAGGCCCGCCTCCCCACTCTCAGGAAATGGCCTTATCTCTGCCCCCTGTGACACTCTCTTCTTCAAATTCCATCTCACTCTTGAGACCTTTCCAGTTGTGCCCCTTGCTCAGTCCTTCTTCCATCTTCTATCCTCAACATTGTCTGTTGCATAGTGGCAGATTGCCTCTAAATTTGTTGCCCCTATGTTGTTTTTTGTAAGTGTTCTATAACTTATACTATATAAACAATTGTTGCATTGTTCTATTAGATTTGAATTTCTTTGGAGGTGAATAGTTTCTATTTCCCTTCTAAGGCTCTGCCCTATCATTTATATTAAAACGTTCTTATATTTAAGTAAAATATCTTTGTGGTGTTTTTAAAAAATGCATCTCTCTAAAAAAAAAAAAGAACCCAAACAATACAGAAAAGAAGAAAATTCATAATTCCATCCCAAACAGGTAATATCTGTTAACATTTCAGAATACATCCTTCACCACACCTTGGTCTTCGTATGTTCAAAAATTGGCAAAAAAGGATCTCACTTCATATTATTTCTATTTCAAGACTTCCCTCTTTTATTTTTACATTGCTACACAGAGCTAATTCATTCCTCTCAAGAGCAGTATAATATTCAAGGCCCAGATGTTTCATCATATTATTGGTTTATTAATGGATATTGAGGTTGTTCCAAGTGGGTTTTTAGTTTGTAAGAAAACCATCAAGGATGACTCCCTTGGTTCAAGCTTGAATTTCCAGATAGATAGTAGTAATGCCAATTAAGATAGAGAACACCGGAAGGTAGCAGGTATTGGGTAGATTAGATTGTTTCTATTCCAAATCAGGAACCAACATAGAAACATTACTGCTATCTAATCCTCATACTCCATTCAAGTTTCACTAATTGTCCCCAAATCATCCTTTATATCAAAAGAATTCAATCCAGAATCATGCATAGCATTTAGTTGTCATGTCTTTCAACTGGTTTCAGTCTGAAATAGTTTCCCAGTTGTTACTGGTCTTTAATGGCCTTGAAACTTTTGCAGATTACAGTCCAGCTGTCTTTTAGAAAGTTACTTATTTTGGTTTTGTCTCATGTTTCCTCATGATTAGACTTACTTTATGATTTCTGTCAGGTGAAATCACAAAAGAGATGTTGTGGAAATACAGGAAATGTCTGTCACTCTCGGTCAGGCAAAGATTTCTTAAATATGACACAAAAAGGAAAAACTATGCAAGAAAAAAAGAATAAATTACATTCCATCAAAATGAAAAACTTTTGCAACTCAAAAGACATTATTCAGAAAATGGAAAGACAGGTCACAGACTGGGAGGAAAGATTTGCAAAATGTATCTCTGATAAAGAACTTATATCCAGAATGTGTCACAGAATATATTGTAAACACAGTTCAATACTAGAAAGATAACCCAGTTTTTTTAATGGACAAAATATTTGAAGACACTTCACCAAAAATGATATACAGATGACCAATAAGCACATGAAAATATGTTCAATATTATTAGGCATTAGGGAAATACAAATTAAAACCATAATGAGGTAACACTACATACCTACTAGAATGGCTCAAATCTCAAACACTGCCTATACCTAGAAAATGTGAAGCAACTGGGATACTCATAGTGGGAATGCAAAATGGTACAGCCACTTTAGAAAAGTTTGCCAACTTCCTATAAAACTAATCATACACTTAACATATAACCCAACAATCTCACTCTTAGGTATTTATCCAAGAGAAAACTTGTGTCTACACAATGACTTGCACAGAAATGTTTACAGCAGCTTTATTTATAATTGCTAAAAGCAGGAAAAGTCATTGGTGAAAGGATAAAATATGGTATAATGAAATACTGCTCAGCAATGAAAAGGAAGAAGTTACTTCAAGCAACAACAGGGACAAATCTCAAAGCACTATGCTACATGAAAGAAGCAGACATAAGCTACATGTTTACTGTATGGTTCCATTTATTGACATCCTAAAAAAGTCTAAACAATAGAGACATAAATTAGATCAGTGGCCACTTGGGGCAGGAAGTAAGGACAAGAGACTGACTGCAAAAGGGGCACAAGAGAACTTTTGGGTTGATGGAAATGTTCTATGTCTTAACAGTGGTGGTGTTTACATGATTATATGCATTTGTCAAAACTGATCTAAGCATATATTTTTTAAAGAGTGATTTAACTATAGTATATGTATAATTAATACATAACCATATGTAAATTTTACCTCAGTAAACCTGACTTTAAAAAATGATATTGTAATAAATACCAAAGAATTATGAGGGTGAAGGGGGGTAATGCATTCTCTTTGGGAAAAATTCAAACAATACCAAAGCAGATATAATATATTATGAAAATTCCCCTCTCTTTCTTCAATCCCAAGGCTATCAACAGTTCATGCATATTCTTTCAGATATTTTTATGCATACTCATTTATGTTTGTAAAAATACATAAATGTGATAGTAAGTGATGTATTGTTTTGTAAACTCTTCATCTGTGTCACTTCCCATTATGTACACCTTCCCATTGTTTATCAGTACATAAAACTCTCATCTCACACCACAGCACATCTCTCTGTCAAGGATGGAGTGGGCTTCCCATAAATGTTGTTAACCATCTCCATTTTCCATGAGTCAACTGGCCAGAGAGGGTCGTCCTGACCAACAAGAGGAACAGATTGATTCCAGCAGCTGTCAGCGTCCAGAGGACACAGCATTCTTTGGACCTGTTACCAAACCAGCCAGGTCAGTTTCTCCTCCTATTTCAAAGCAAATATCTTCTTGTTCTCCTTGAATTGACACAGCATCTGGCTTGTAATTGCACTACAAAAGTGGAGGAAGAGGGGAGTATGGCCTAGAAAAAAATCTTTCTACAAATATAGAACAAGTGTTTGCACATTATCAGCCCTATTTATTTTTTTATATTAATCAACATTAGCACTTACACAGCAACTGATCCTTGAGAGACGTGTTCAAGGTCACACAAGACACTGGCAGTGACAGGAAGGAAGAGAGGAAGCTGGCTGCATTGTCTTCAGCCAGCAGACAGACTGTGCCAGGTACTGTCATCCCTACCCAACCCAGAGGGTAATGCCAGAGGCTTGGGGTTCAGTGTTGGCAATTGGAAGAGACAGTTGGGTTTTGGAAAGATATATCACAGCTTCAGCAGCATTTTCCCCACTTGCGCTTAGAAAGAGCCCCTGAGGGCTCTAGACACCTAAATGTCTAGTTCACAGTCTCATGGACCCAGCATCTTAGACTGCTGTCCTTCGTTACCCGACACCCCTTGAACTCCCATCTCGGTTAAGATCACGGCAACTTCGGAGTGGGTCTCAGTCCACGACAGGAACTCACAAGCCAGGGCTCTCCAATTCACTGTTCTACCAACTCAAGTGGGCAGGAGTTTATGTCATTTGATGGTGCTAGCACCAATTATGCGCAACAGATTAGAAGGAGTGGTTTGGGGTCATATGACTAGTTTGTTTCCCTTCTAAAGTTCTCTATCATGTTCCTAGTCAAGGCAGTAGGGCTGCGGTAGGACCACACGCTGTGACCTCAGAGAGACTTGGGTTCAGGCCCTCGTTCTGCTGCCTACCAACTAAGTAATGTTGGGCAAGCTACTTGACCTTGCCCAACTTCGGTTTCTTCATCTTCACTGGGAAGTTGGGAGGTTTCAGTGGCATGATGCAGGCTTAGCACAGCACCTGCCACGGCAAAAAGACTCAGGACCGTAGCTAATCTCATTACTATTGTTAAGAAATTTATCTTTCTGGGAAAATACACAGAAAGTTTTTCTAAATACAAGGATCCTTCCTTCTAAAACTGTTACTGAGTAGAATAAAGGAGGATGCCATAATCTGAAGGAGAGGACTGGCCAGACAGTTCTTTTTATTACTTCACTTTAAAAGTTCAGAGTGATAACCATAAGAAACATTTCTCAGAGGTAGTTAATGAAGAAGAGAGAGGGGAAGTTAAGTGACTGCTCAAGATCACAAAGCTAACTAATTTCCCAATCTTTTCTTAACTTCAGATTTCTCCTGTGTCCTAGTCAAGCATCCCTTTTGAAGCACCACGCTGCATAACACTACCTCTGCTCTGAGAAACGCTGGCATTAGACATGTTGGTTAAAGTTTCTGGATTGTATTAATATTAAATTATCATTTATCAAGCACTTATGATTTGCCTGGCAATGTGCTATAATCATTGTTCTTTCAGTCCTTAAAACATTCAGTGTGTAAATATCACTGCCCTATTTTATGGTCAGAGAAATTTAGGCACAGAGAGGTCAATCACCTTATCCAAGGCCACACAGCCAATAAGTGATAGAGTCAGAATTCCAGCAACGATTTAATTCAGTGGGCCCAAGGGGTCAGGATGTGATCTCTTGGATTACTGTCAGCTGTAAATCATAGCTATGTGGATCTCAGGATTCCAAGGCACTCTGAAGCAACCAACATTTGGAGTACAAGATGATCCCTCTAAAACTCTGCCTCTTTGTGCTTCCATGTGGTGCTGGGAATGAACCCACATCAAAGCAAGAGCTGGAGAGGGAGAACTGGGTCCATCTCTTGGCAGCAGGCTCTCAGCTGGACCATCTCAAACTGGAAGAGAAAGGTCATTCCTTTGGACTTTCCCATATTCAATGGCAAGAGGCTTTCTTCCCAGAATATTCTCCAAATATTTTCCAAAGACACAATGTGTGACTTATAGCATGATTCAGAGGAAGCCAATAAGGCTGAGAGCTGAAAACTGAGCCTGGCAAGGAAGCCCTGTGGGTTTGGACTGAAAGACCAGCAGCAGAAAGGCTCAGGGCTACTTAGCACAGAGCTTTATTTCTGCCTAATGTTCTTGGCCTCATTTCTTTGTGAAAGGGAAAGCAGAGGTAGAATCTGAAGAGCATTAGAACTATTAATTATTAGTAGTTAAAAGGCCAGCAGAGGGGAACATTTATAAGGGCACAGTGTCTAGAATCCAACACACCCTGGATTTTATTCCCTGTTTATTCTCTGACAAGCTGGGTTGTTTTTGGTATGTTATTTATTCTCTCTGGGCCTTGTGTCCTCACCTATAAGGTGGAATAACAATAAGGGTCATTGTGAAGATCCATGTAAAGCATGAGGCCCAAGGCCTAGGACATGGTAAGTTCTCAGTAAATGTATGCCACTGTAATTGTGATTCTAAACAAACAATATTCTTTGCAACATTCTCCAAGGATTCCGTAAATATTCTGATTTCTGTGGCCTCTGGTGGCTAGTTTGGCGAACAGTTTGTCTCTAAGTTGCCCTTCCCAATCCTGGGAAAATTGCCTTCTACTGCCTTTATAAATGATGTATCAAAATTTTTATTTTACAAAATATTGTCAGAACACTCATACATTGCTGGCGGGGATGCAAAATAGTACAGCCACTTTGGAAAATAGTTGGGCAGTTTCTTATCAAGTTAAACATACTCATACCATATGACCCAGCAATCCTGCTCTTAGGTTCTTATGCAAGAGAAAAGAAGACTCATGTTCACACAAAAAGCTGTATTCAAATATTTATAGTGACTCTGTTCATAATTGTGAAAAACTGGAAATAACTCAAACATCCTTCAACTGGTAAGTGGATAACCAAACTAGTAAGTAGGTCCATCAATGGGATACTGCCTAGCAGTTAAAATAAGGGACTGGTGACATATACAACTTGGATGAATCCCAAATGAAAAGTGAAGGAAGCTAGACCCAAAAGGCTACATAATGTATAATGCCATGTCTATGACATTCTAGAACAGACAAAATTATAGATACAGAAAATGGGTCAGTGGTGGTTTTCAGGGGCTAGGGGTGGCAGGAGGAGTTGACGAGAAAGGAGAATTTTAGGGGGTGATGGAACTGTTCTACATCTTGATTATGGTGCTAGATTGTACAGCTGTATGCTTCTGTCAAAACTGGCAGAAATGTGTACTGAAAAAAAGGGTGAATGTTACTTAATGTAAACTATACCTCAACTAAAGGGAAACCTAAAGAAAATATTGGTGTATATAAAATCTCATTTTATCCCTATAGCTCCATCACCTAGGGCAAGTTCTCTTATTCTTGCCATGGGACAGAGGCTTGTACAGCAAAGTGGAACTTCAGGGGAATTAGCTGGAGCTACCTCCACTCCAGTTTGGTAAGGTGCTCTAAGACTGTAGCCCCTGAAGCTACTTCTCTCTCCCATCTTCCTTTTCCCATGAATGTGTAATGTTTTAAGCCAGTTTAAATGACACCAATAATTAATCAATTAATTTGTTAATTAAAAGTTTGGTGATAGGCATCTGAATTCCACAGTGTTTCAGAGAGCCCAAGGTCCTCCCAAGGTCCCTATTCTAGCCCTGGAGAGGAGACAAAGTGTACCCTGGGGCCATGCATGTTCCTTTAGAGTAAAAGGAGTTTGGGGTTTTGCTTTGGTAAGCAAAAAGCTGGATCAAAGCTGCAAAATCTTTCACACTTCTTAGCCATGACCTCCAAACAGCCTCTCAGAATACATTTTGCATTTTGGAGAGCATCACAATAAAGACCTTGATTGAGTTCGTATTTTAAGCAAAAGTTACTGTCCTCTCAATCTCAAACATTTCCATTAAAGATCCATGATTTTCGTTTGTTTGCTCTTTGTAAATTGGGCTTTGACTATATGATGGAACATGATAACATATGCAATAGAATTCTATCATATTAAAACTTATCTTACGTAATATAAACTCTGTTGTATATTACTAACAGTAGGCGAAGTGATGAATGGAATAACTTCCATCAACAAACTTCCAATGTCTATAAGGAAACTAATGCTGGTGCTACAAATAAAATGTCTTCTGCGGGCTCTTTCTGATGAAAGCTGGGAAATAATGTCTTCGTTTTTCCAACAAAGGAGTCAAATTAATTCAAGACCTCTTTGAGAAGAATTCAGAGCTGGGCATTATTAGCAGGGACCACCCTGGAAAGCACACTGTGTGGAACAGAACCGAACAAATAGCCTCTTCACTTTCCATCAACCTCAAGACATGTAGGTCAGGTAGGGGTGAAACTATCTTCATTATTTTCTTTCCAGGTACTTCTAAGAGTGAATGAACATTTATCCATGCAGTCTGTAAAGTACAATCAGATTGAAAAACAATTGTAAAGTTCAGTCCCTCAGCTTTTATTATATCCCCACCATGTGCCAGCTACCATAATGGGTGCACAGAATACAACTAGGAGAAATATAGACCCACCCCTGACCTTGTAGAGCTTCCAGTCTAGTGGGGTGACAGTCCGTAAATGAGTAAACAGACCCCAAATAAACATGGATGGTGATTGTGTTAGTTTGTTCATGCTGCTGTAACAAAATACCACAGACTGGATGGTTTATAACAACAGAAATCTACTGCTCATCGTTCTGAAGGCTGAAAGTTCAAGGCACTGGACAGTCTACTCCACAGGAAGGAAAAAGTATGGGAGGAATAGTCTGTCCCCTCATTTATTCTCCCTTAAGGAGGAGTAACTCATCACCTTGGAGTTTGAGAGGAGCAACTGGTTGCCTGTGGCTCAGCCCATTCTCCCTAATCCAGGTTTGGAGAATCCAGGGAGACTTCCTGGAGGAGGTGATGGCAAGCCCTAAAGGATAAGAAGTAAAGAGGAGTGCATGGGGGTAGTTTGGGGGAGATACCACTCAAGGCAGAGGGAACAGCATGTGGAAATCCCTGGAGGCAAAAGACAGACAACATGGTCCTTTGGGAAAGGCAAGAAATTCTGCATGACTGGAGTATAGAGGGTAAGAGATCAGGAATGGCAAGATGAAGCTGACAAAGGAGTCAGATCATGAAGATCATGTGCTAAACTATGGAGTCTAGGTTTTAACCTGAGGGCATTAAGCAGGATAGATAATCAAAAGAGTGGAAATACTGCATTCCTGATAGATCTGGATGCAGGGTGAACAGGCAGGAGAACTGGATGGTTCCAGACTTATGAAAATGTGAGAAGGGGACAGAAGAGAGTCCTTTGCTGTGCTAGAGACCTTGGCTTCGGCCCGTTAGGTCCAATGTCTTGGGCCCCAGGTCTTAGCTGCCATCAGAGAGCCCTCTCTGTACAGCCCCTATCCCACCTCCAATAACCACTCGTTCCCTCTCCCCTGCAGGCCTGGGGTAGGCACAGGGTCCCAGTGGTACTGCATAATCCTTTGTAGTTTCTTTATACCGTTCACATATTTATAAACAACTGCACTATTGAAACTCCTCAGATAATTCTAATTTGAGTCTTTCAGCTGGTTCCTCCTGGGACCCTTGTTACACGTCCCTCCCAAATAAGGAGAAAGCAAGCCTAAGGTCCATGGAGAGAGGACAGGACTGTCTTCCTGCTGCTTAGGAAAGATAACAGACTTACTGAGATAGTGCTTGTCTTTTAATAGTCCTACTGTCTGGGTGTAAATGATGCTGCTCACTTTAAAAGAAAGGAAGAAGAAAAATCATTGGAAATCCCACCTCCCAGGGACAAATGCTATCCACATTTTTGCTGACTATCCTTCTACATGTTTCTTTACACATATATACTTGTACAACTTGTATAGATATGTTCAACTTCATATGAATGAGACTCCAAATGCTGTGTCAAAACTACTTTTTCCCACTCATCCATAAGCCTCACGTTTTGAGTTGTCTGTGGAATAGGCCAAGTACACACGTCCAGGACTAAGTTGACATGGCAATCTGGAGTTCAAGAGATACGGCCTTGGGGTCGCCATCAGAGAGATAGCCATGAAAGTCTCAGAAGGCAGAGCATCCCTGCAGGTGGTGGGAGGGAGGGGAAATGGCGATTGTGCCCTCACACTAACAGGGTAGGAGGAACCTAAGGAGACAAAGAAGCAGTTAAGGTGATAAAAGGAAAGTGAGAGATTTCTCCAAGAAAGAGGAGTGGGCAACCGTGAAGAAGGATACTTCCAGGTCACATGAGATAAGGGCTTTGGATTTAGCAATAAAGAGATAGCTGGTGGTCTGGCTAAGAGTGAGTTTATTCAAGTAGTAGAGTGGGAGCCTAACTGTAAAAGGGCTAAGGAGGAAACTGAGGCAGTTTGCCAACCTTTCCCACTCACTGTCCCCCTCCTCCCATATCAGAGCTCCTCATACTCGAATGTGTGTACAAATTACCTGGGCAAATTGTTACAATGCAGATC